ACGGGGTGCGCACAGACACCTGGCCCTCAGCCATGCTTTGGCGATCGCCAATGGATGGTTTTGGTGTGTGTGACGGCCTTGCCAAATCGTCCTGTTGCACGGCAGCATGTCCGCGATCTGCTCTTGAAGTGATCGGTGGCACCCAGATAGAGGACATTATGATTATATTCGGTTTGCCAGAACTTTGCAATGTCCAGACGGCAGTTGTGGCCGCGATACTTAGGTTTTGCAAGTGCGTATTAGAAGCCACGTCACATCGGGCACATCGGCCCATGTTACCCTCGACGTTCCTACCGCTGACGCGATGGATGGTGAATCTCGTCGCGACGACGCTGGATGCGGCCAAGAAGCGTATAGCGAGCTCTCCAGATGCTTCGATGCGCGTTGGATGCTACCGCAAGAGCGTCAAACCCAAGGTGCGCCGCGGGGAACTGGCCGTGGTATCAGGGAGTGGAGCAGCAGCTGCATCGCTACCAGACCACATGGGAGTGGACAACAGCGACACCGAGAACGAAATGGCCCTCAAGATCTTCAGAAGAGGGCCGGATCTTCACAAGAGGATTCGCGTCTAAAAGGATGTCTCTTGAGTGCGCACTTGATCAACGAAGATTGCAGCACCAATGTGGTGGCGGAGGCAGCTGCAGCACTGTGTGGCATGAAGCGAGTTCAGGGCGATCCCAAGGTGAAAGGTGGACCGCCGCAGTTGATGGTGTCACTGGCAGCTTTTTCAAGCCATGCTGCAGCTTTCAGAGGAGCATGAAGTATTGATGTTTGTAGTTTTCCAGATTTCCAGGTTGTCCTGTTTTTCCGCGCGGGCTCCGGGGACGAATGGTCGAGCGCAGTCCGTCGCGCAGGTTCTTTGCGTGATGTGAGCGGTGCATTTTTCGTGCATCGGGGCGCCCTCGGAGATTCCAAACTGCACTATGTTTTGCTCTTGGGGAATCCACGAGTTGCAGCTGACGTGGCGCGATTTTCGAGGTGACCCCTTCGAGTGTTGTTCGCGGGCGCAGGGCGCGGCGCGCGCTGGGCCCAGTCGCGCGCGGCGCGGTGCGTGAATCAGCCGGCCGCGCCCGTCGGACCGGCCGGATATTATTTCTGGGTTGTAGAAAGTTTCAAACAACGCTGCCGTTTTCCTTTGGCGCAAGCGGTTCCGGAAATTTCAAAAAGGAACCCGGAAATTTTCAAAAGAAAAACGTTCTGAGGGGTGGAATGCGCCCGCCGCGCAGGACATCTGAAGAATTCTGAAATCCGGAATTTTTCAAAATAGATTCCGGATTTTTTGCAAAATCGACCCTGGAATGTTTCAAAATGGGCTCCAGGATTTTTCAAAAAGTAAGCCGGACATGTTCAAACACGTTTCCGGATTGTTCAAGTCTGCCCTTGGAGAATCTTCCAGAGTCGCGCGTGATTTGCCTTGCCAGGTTTTTGGAAATCTGCCGAGGCGCGCGGCGCGCGGCGGCGGGCGACGGGGCGGTGCGCCCTTGTGCCCCCCGCGTTCGGCAACGAAAAGGAGGATCAGCAATTGCCAAATAGCCCCTTACGGGCGACCACTCGATTGCGAATGGGTGACCGACCGGCGGCGCCAGGCAAAGTAGACAATGTTCGACGCAAAGTGTACCCCCCGCGAAGGCTGTTAGGAGTCCCAGAATCCCCGGAACGCATCAATAGCAAATTGCGTCAATATATTCTTCTCGCTCTAAGCTTCCTCCAGTTCGAGGCAGTGTTCAGGGCAAAGAGGAAGTGGCCAGACACACGAGCTAATTGATGAGACCCACGGACAAACCAATCGATGTAGTTTCAATTTACATGAAAAGATTTGAAGGCCAAGACGGCACACGCGAAGAAGAGGGATGAGGTTCGAGTTCGCAATTTGTTCTACATTCACACGTTCGCTCCGGCCGGCCAGCCCCCGAATTTGATTATAATTTCCGCCAATTTCTTAGTCACCAGGTGTGTGATGGCTGTGGGTTCGGAGGTCGAACCGTGCGTGCCCCCGAGGACAGCGTGGGGAGGCGCTGCCAGAATTCGCTCGAGGAAGATGCTGGAGGTGAAAGGGAATCACCACAGGGGTTGAGAACACCAGGTCTTCGAGGTCCCCGTCCGGGTGTTTCGCAGAGAGCTACCGAGGTAGGCTTGCTGGAGCCCGGGCCCCACCCGAGGCCACCGCCGAGCCCCGACTCCGAACCTGCAAAGGCGAGGGAAAAAGGTAGAACGTGACTTTAGAGGCCCGAGAGGTCTAGAGTCTTGTAGTTTTGCGCCCCACTCCCATTGGTGTGTGCGTGTGCGTTGCCATGGTTTTCTCGTTCCGCCCTGCTTTTTCGTTGCCCCCACTGGGGGCGGATGATTGGACCACGGAGTGCGTACCGCGCTGGCGGCTTGCACTGGATTTCGGTCCCTGGTGGCGTACATCCTCCCATTTCCTCTAGATGTGTGAGCTGAAACGCCCGTCTTTCTCTCACCCTGTGACCTTGTGAAACTGTGCACCATTCCTTCTCATGTGTGATTTTCTCGGGCATCTCGATCCAGACGTTTTTCTAGATTACCCCAGTTTGGGTAGTCTGTCGCGGTTGGGTGGGAGGGGGGGCGGACACATCTCGGCGGTCACAAAACAGCATTGAGCAAAGCAGACACACCAGGAGCGGAGCACCACCACCACCATCACCACCTTTCCTCATCAGCCTCTTCTTTCTCCTCCTCTTCCTCCTCCTCGTGCAGGGTTGAAGGCTCACACAGGACTTGGCGCTCAGGGCTCAGGGCCTAGAATTGGGTCCGCATCGGCAGACCAGCTTGGCAATTCAATCGATATAGTTGTGGACGAGGAGCCCTGGCGCCGACTGTGATCAGTCTGGTGAGCGATCGGCTAAACGTAGCGCCAAAGCCTGACCAATAAATTTGCCGATGTGCTCCCCTCAGCCGCTGTGGAAACCCTGGGTGGACGTTTGGGGGAGGATGAAAGAGAGAACCAGAGACAGAGACAGAGACAGAGAGAGAAGGAGAAAGAGAGAGATGGACAGGATGGAAGAGGAGGACGAGGGAGAAGGGGGCCTCTTGGTGGCCCCTTGGGGCTTATTGGGGGCCTCCGAGTGTCCTCTACAGCCTCTTGTGGGCCTCTTGGGGACATCCTGGGTCGTCTTAGGGCTCTCGTGGCACGTCGGACTCCTTCGGAGGCCGTCTTGGAGGCCTGTCTGGGTCGCCTTGGGGCTCTCTTGTGGCGCTGCAGGGCAGCTCTGGCATCAACACAGCGTGGCATCGCCACAGCGCAGCATCACCACAGCGTGGCATCACCACAGCGTGCCATCACCACAGCGTGGCATCACCACGGCGCGGCTGCATCTCAGCGTAGCATCACTGTGTAGTGCTGCCACGCTGTTAATGCCACGCTGTGCAGTAGTGCCACGTTGTCGATGCCACGCTGCGTAGCGGTGCAACGCTGTCGAGGCCACGTTGTGTAGTGATGCCACACTGCTGATCCCACGCTGTGCAGTCATTCCGCGCTGTTGCTGTCACGCTGTGGAATGATGCCACGCTGTCGAGGCCTGTGCAGTGATGCCACGCTGTGATCTTTCGCACGATGAAGCGCAATGAGTCACACGGTCAGGATGCACTCTTGGTTGTCCCCAGTAGTGTCCCAAGAGACCCCGAGACGGCTCCAAGGGACACCCAACGGATCACAAGACAGCCGCAGCCTTGCAAAAAGTGCGAAAACGCGTGCTCACATATTCGATTGGGGCTTCGCAGGGGCCTCTGAGAAGTCTCTTGGGGTGCGTCTGATGCATCTTTGTGCCTTTGGGGGGAGTCATTTGGAGCAATCACGGACCCTCTCGGATGCCGCATTGGGCCATGCCAGGCCTTCCCGCAGACCTCTGGTGGCTTGCCGTGAGCCATCTTCGCCCTCTGGTAGCTTTGCGGAGCCAGTGCAGGCCGATGGGTCTGCGACTACTTGCGAACCTTGACGCGACCAGGTTGGATTTTCGGGCCTTAGGTCGGACGTCCTTCTGCTGTTCAGAGCAACTCGGACACCTCCAGGACGTTCTCGGCGAGGCGCAGCTGCAGAAGAGCACCCCGAGGCTCGAAAACCTACAGGAACCGACGAAAACCGTCCGACCACATTGTGTATTGTGTATACATCTATATATCTATATATATATATATATATATTCGCCGAGTGGTGCGCGAAGCGTAGCAAGTGAAACAAACAGGGAAGCTATACAGTGAAAGCGAAAGCAACAGGCATGGCGGGGCAGGTGCCGCCAATACAGCTGCCACAGACGAGCACGGCCAACGGTTGAGCCGTCAGCTCGGCGAGCCGGGCCTTTCGCCAAAGCATGGGAGTGCCCCGCGCGCTGGGCCTCGCGACGGAGCTGCTGATCCATTAAGTCGAGCTTCTCGACGACAGAATCCGGAAGTGGTGGGAAACGCTTGCGGTTTGCCCGAATTTCGTTCCAGCACTTGGGCCGGCGCGAATCGCACAAGTGAGACGGGAGACGGAGGCGGCTCCCGAACGAAGTGCCGCAAGCGAGGCACGTGGCATCAGCTGGCGCACAAAATCGTTGCAGGCACTTTTGGCCATGCTTTATGCGCATATGCTGACTCAGCGCCTTCGCAGACGCGAAGCGGCTGTCACAAATCGTGCAAACATGCGGGCGAGTGCCGCCAGCCGTAGACGCTGGAGCTGCAGCGGCGGCAGCGCAACACGAGTCAACGAAATGAAGGACGCTCACCGCACTGGACCAACGCCCGGGAGAGGCCAAAATGAACTCAGTCCATGTCGATGCGCCGGCTGTGGGGCAAGGGAGGTGCGAGCATAGTGCAACCAGCTCCCGTAGCTTCAACATGTCCGTGGTCAGCAGCTGTGCCCAAGGCAACGGTCGATCTTTGGGACGCGTGCTCAGCATCGCCAGCAGGGCCGACGGCTGAGACCGCAGCAAGCGGCCAAGATACCGCAGACGAGCGCGCATCATCAAGCAATCGATGCTCGCCCTCCCAAGGCGATCGCGTACCGTGACATCGTGGACAGTGTGCCCAAAGCGAGGCGCCCCAGCGATCCTCCGGAGAACTCGCATGTACACGGCGTTGATGGTGAGAGTGAACCGTCGAGTCGGCACGAGGATGTGGACATTGTGCAACAACCGGCTCAGGGTCAAGCTTTGCACCATCCAAAATTTGAGGTCGTCGGACACCGCGGGGCTGCCGAAAAGCTTGGTTGCAAGCGGGGCGTAGCTCTTCATGGCCGCGCCGCGAAGATGCTGAGCAGCAGGGCCGAGCGAGCCACTGGAGCACAGGACGCCTCCGAGATGGGTGTACTTAGTGACGACATGCAAGAGCACGTTGCGACCAGGAACCGCTATCGCAAGGCCACCACCGCGCTGGGCGCGTCGTTTCTCCAAGCACGAAGTGGCGCCAGTGCCGCGATAGACCAAGAAACACTCCGATTTGCCAGGCTTCCAAGTGATCGTCAAGTTCATGCTCTCGTGAATATTGCAGACTGCCGTAAGTATTACGTTGATCGCGCTGTCGAGGTCGGCCGCGCGGGGGGCCGTCAGCATGAAGCACTCGTCGTCGACGAATGCGGCGTCGACCACTGGTATGGTGTCTTCGGCGTGGTCGGTGCCGCTCTCTGGCGGCGCCCAGAACGCATCGCGTCTTTTGGGCAGCCGCAGCATGATGCCAGCGTCGAGCAAGGCATCCCGGATCAAGACCATGGCCAGGGAGAACGTGCTGTTGAATACCATGGCGCCGTATTTGCAGCCTTGACGGCCGCCGACCAGCGCGGCGACGGCGGTGTCGCAATCGCCGTAAGAGAACCACGAGGCCGCGTGCATGTTCTTGAGCAGCCAGATCACCTCCGGCGACGCGCCCCGCTGCTCGAATAGGCATCCATGGCGAGCAACCCAAGTAGCAGTCCACTGAGCCTGATGATCGCTGAGACCGAGGTCTCGCAGATATTGCTATGGGTCTGTGGCGGCATGGGGCCAGCCCAGAACGATCTCGCGCACGACCTGGTCAAACGCCTTGACAAGGTCCACGAATCAGACGAAGCATGAGAGCCCCTTGGCGGCGCAGTAGTCGCAGAAAGACCGGGCGAGGTGTGCAGCGAGGTCGGTACCGCGGCCAGCAACAGCCCCATGCTGGGACTCAGGCATGTGGGCGTTGTACATGGGGGTCACGAGGCCACTGAGGAGCTGCTCGAAGACTTTGGCCGCGTGGTCCTCGAGGACAATCCCGCGGGGCTCGTCGCACTCCTCGCGCGGCCCTTTCTTCTTGTATACGTTCTGCATGCGCCCGCCTGTCCAGGAGGTTGGCCAGCGCTCGCCGTCGATGATGTCCTGGAAGATGGACGCCAGGGGTTCGTTGACGGCGTCGCCGCCGGCCACCAGCAGCTCCGAGGGGACGCCATCGCGGCCTACAGCATCGGGGAGGACGACGATGCTGCTGGTGAAGGGGTCCGGCGGAGGCGTCGGCTTGAGCTTCAGCTCGGCCATGGTGACCGGCTTGCCATTGAAGACGTCCCGGACATGTTCTTGCCAGCGCCCCTGCCGCTCCGCCTCGGTGCTGGACAGAGCTCCAGACTTCAGGCGGACTGGATGCGTGGAGGAGCTGGCGTTCCGACCACTGAGCGCGCGCACGATGCCAAAGGCAGTGCGCCAATCCCGGCGAACGGCGGCCAGCTGCGCCTTCTGAGCCTTCGTCTCGAGGAAGAGCTGGCGGTCGAAGTGGACGAAGTGACGTGCTAACGCTGTGAGCTGGCTGCAGAGGCGGGCGGCGGCGGCGTTCAGCAGGCGCCACTGCTGCCGGAGTGCTCGCAGGGAGGGGGGCGCGCACTTGGCCGCCCAGCCCAATCGCGTGGGGGGGGGCGCTAGTCAACGAGAGCGCGGAGGGGCACAGGGCTGCCCAGATCAGGAAGGCGAGGTGGCAATGCGCCTTGAGGATCTCGGCGCGAGCCCGGTACATCGTCCTGCGCGACGGGGCCAGGGTACGGGGCAGCCGCCATGTGTCTCCAGATATCCACGGCTGGCGGGGTTGATCTTGCGGGCGGCCAAAGGCTTGCAGTGCCGAGGAGCGGACGTGGTCCATGAAGGTCGTGGTCTTGTCGTCAATGTCGCCATGGGTCGACAGACGCAGCTCGGACATGTGTCGCGCGAACTGCTGCACGCACGCGGTGTCACCGAGGCGCCGCTTGTTGAAGCGGAACGGCGCGGGGGGGGCCCACAGTGTCGCCACCGCGCGTGGGGGCGGTCATGTGTGCAGCGACCATGCGGTGGTCCTCGCGCGTAGTGATGGACAGCTGAACCTGCTCGGGGACGTGCACTTTGTGGACGGCCGGGAGGTCCACTAAAGGTCCGCGCAAGTAATCTATCCGCGACGTGGGGCCCTTCCCAGAGCGCCAAGTATAGCCGACATGGAAGAAAGTTTCCAGGGCGGCCAGCTGGAGTTCCTGGAGCGTGGCGATAAGCGCAGCGCCGTTCTGGGAGATCTCCTCAGGGTCACACGGCCCCGTCGCGCCAGAGTGGTGTGGGCCAACACGCGCATTGGCATCGATGCCCGTGTAGATCTTGGCGGTGGGCGTGCGGCGTTGCAGGGAGGACATCGCGCTCAGCAGCGTGTCCCAGAATCCCTCGCGTTCAGTGGCTGGTGATGAATCAGTGGGGGCGTGCGCGCTGACAAGGATCAGCGGCAACCCGCAAGCGTCGCGGCCTGTCAACCAGAACAGACGGGGGGACACCGCTGCGTACGAGGAGACTTTGAAGCCCGACCGGGCGCGAATCCAGATCTGGCACCCGTGGCCGCCGTCGTCGTCGCCGGCCCCGACGTGCATGGTGTAGTGGAGGCCCGTGCGAGCCTCTTCGACACGAGCGCGCCCTTCCTGCAGGAAGACGTAGTCGAGGTGAGCATCAATGAAATACTGCTCGAGGATCTGGACCTTCCCAAGCATGAGCTGGAAAGCGACTTGGACGCCAGCAGCGGATTCCTCCTGCGGTCGGAGGGTGCAGACGTTGCCGGTGGCAATGGTCTGTTCGGAGGCGGCGCGCGGAGCTCGGCGAGAACTGCGCATCGTGGTAGCCGCGGGAGGGCCATGAGAGCCAGCCAGCGGCGCGCGTGTAGCAGTGCACGTAACGGTCTGGGCGCCTGTGGCGTCCGCCTGTGGACAGCAGCTCCGGACCACATTTCGCGCCGGAGGCGGGGCGGAAATAGGAGAGGTAAGCAGCCCCCCCAACCATGAACATGAAGGTGGTGTACTTGAAACGGTAGTTGGCGGCACGGCGCCAGGCACAGCACAAGCGCAGACGGCGCCTAGGGCTCCTGACCTGGGCCATCCGCTGGCACAGGAAACCCCGCCGCCGACCCAGCAGCGCGGCGGCCTGCGGCGGAGCTGGCCGACGTGTCCTTGGTGATGGACTTCACGACCTTGCGCTTCGTGAAGTAATCGGTGATCAGCTCCTTGGGCTTCTGCTTGCCATGGTGCCGCACCAGAGAACCGCCGGCAGGACCGCGCACTGTCGTGGGCGTCGCAGCCGCAGTCGCCATCGTCTTCACGCTGTAGTCGGCAGGAGTGGGCTGGACCCCCGCGGCAGCAGCACGAGTGGCCGCGGCCTGGTTCAGCGTGGCCTGGAAGCCCTCGAAAAGCTGCTGGACGTGCTGCGTCGCTGCCTGGACGTGGCCAGGGTGGACGTTCTCGTCCTGCTTCAAGTGCTCGATCATCTGGTTCAGGATCTCGAATGCGTGGGACGCTGGAGCAGGCGCCTCCGCCGCCATGGGAGAGGCAGCGGCCAGGGACGCCTCGAGCTCGCTCAGCTCGGCCTCCAAGGCGGTCACCTCGTCGGAGTACTGCTTGACCAAAAGCGTGGACGCCTTGAGGGCCTGCTCGGCCTCCTCGCGGCGAGCCCGCGCACGTCCCAGCGCAGCCCTCGTGCCGTCGATGCGGGCGCCGATCGGCTTGGAGCCCACGAACTGGCGCTTATAGTCGTCGAGGCGCGTCGTGAGCGAGATGCGCTCGGAAGCCAGCTCGGCATCGTCCTCGGGGATCGTAGCCAGAACATGCTCGAGCTCCTTGACGCGGGCCTGGAACTGGGCTTTGGTCAGCAAGTCGCCCTGGGAGTGGACGGGATCCTTCGCCGGCGAGCGCTCCGCAGGCGAAGTAATAGTAGGTGACTCGTGGAGCTTGGTCAGCGTGTCCGTGATGGTGGACAGCTGCGCGCGCACTGGGTTCTGCTGGGATGCAGCCGTGGGAGGTGTAGAAGGTTTGGGGCCGTTCTTGACCACCTCGCCGTACGTGCGCTTGAGCCCGCGGATATATATATATATATATATATATATATATATATATATATATATTTATATCCGCGGGGGAAGTAGCTACCCCTGTGGGTCGACTCGACGCTGGTGTATCGGACACTTCCGTTGGGATGTGGCTGCAGACGTCTTCCAAATTATGAGGTCCCAGCTGTGTTTCAGGAATTTGGCGGCCAGCGGGGGCAGAGTTCATATGCAGTTGCCCGATTCAGGCGTCAGCAGCACCGACGGGTGGGGATAGGCTCAGTGGGGAATGCACTGACCCCCAATCGCCCACTGATCGCCGATGGGGGCCCGATAGCCCACCCCCGCCCAGAGCCGTGTGGTTTCGCCATCGAGGGCCCATCGCCGATACGTCGGCGATGCATCGTCGATCCCAGCCCGAGGCTCTCCCCCCTATCGCCCGTGCCCCTCCTATCGCCCCCCTCTGCCCACGTCGGGTTGCCCGACCAATGCGGCCACCCTCCCCCCCTCCCCCCGCCCGCCGGCTCTCTCCCCGGCGCTGCCGCTGCCTCCCTCCAGGCGGTCTGGGCGCCCGCTCCTTCCGCGCCGGCGTCGCCAGAAGCGCGGAGCAGGCCGCCCAAGAGGGCACCAGACGAGGCGCTCCCTGTGGGGCTCGGCAGCACGAGAGGAGGAGAGGGAGGGGGAGGGGGAGGGGGAGGGGGAGAAGGACGAGGAGAAGGAGGAGGAGGAGGAGGAGAAGGAGGAGGAGGAGGGGGAGGAGGAGGCTAGGAGGAGCTCGGAGAGAGAGAGTAGGGCGAGGAGGAGGAGGAGGATGAGGGCAGCGAGGAGACATTGTGGAGGGAGGACGGCGACGAGGTCGAAGGATCAGCAGCAGCAGCAGCAGCAGCAGCAGCTGTTTGCAGCGATGAGCAGCAGGCATCGGCCAGCATCAGCAGCAGCACCGAGCACCAACTTGCAGCAGCAGGCAGGCTGGCAGCAATGTCAGGAGCAATATCGTGTGCGGCAAGCATTCTGAGTGCACCGTCAAGAGCCTCCAGAAGATCTGCCCCCCAGGAATTCACCTCTACCTTTTCAGAGGGCGCCTGCGCGCGCCTAGCCGAGGGGAAAACACCCAAGGGCTTCCAAGACTAGCCCCATTGTCTTTCACCCTCCTATCCCGATTGACGAAACAGCTGCCCAGGTAGCCCAGGCGCAGACAGGCCCACACAAGGGATGAGGCTTGCCCACCGTCGTGGCGTTCTCTACACCATGGGTGGGCAGTGCCGAGTCGTCCTGGCGTCGCCTTTTCTCTGTGTGCTTTGCGCGCGTGCGCGCGCGCTCCCCGCACGTACGCCAGGCGCCCCGACTCGGGGGGAAGGGGCGCTTCACTTCAATCTTCTGCGGCACTGGCCGCAGCTACGCCTAGGCCCGACGCAGGTTCGATCTGGGATTTTGTTTTCGTTCCGACTGGCGGTGCTGGTGTCTCGCAGCCAGCCTTGGTGCCCGAGCTCTGGGGTACCGCCAGCCAGGCGAGGCATGCAGTCTTTTTCACTGCAGAGTGCTGTTTGGCGCAACCACGTTGCATGGCCTTTTGAGCGTGCTAGCCCCTCCACAGAGACAGAGGCACAAGGGGCCCCCATGGTTTTCTGGGCACGGGGGTGGACTCGGGCTGCCTTGTCCACCCCGACTGCTGCCCAGGACCACCCTTCCGCCCCCCGCCACAGGCGGCGGAGGAATGGGTGGAAGTGGCCAGGTGTGCAAACGCCACATCAGGGCCCAACGGAGTACTTCTGCGCGTGTGCGTGCGCGCGAGGTCCTGCACGCGTGTCAGGCACCCCGTCTCAGGGGGAAGGAGCGCTGCACACCCCCTTCAGCGGCACAGGGCTGCAGTTCCGCCCAAGACCGCAGCAGGTTTTCTTTCTGGGGTTGAGTTTCGTCGTGGCTGACGGTGCTGGTTACGCAGCCAGCCCTAGAACCCGAGTTGCGGGGTTCCGTCAGCCAGGGACGCCGAACCTCCCCTTTTCATTGTGCGTGCCTTTTTGCGGGGGCTTTCTGAGCACGGGGGTGGACCTGGGCTGCCAGTCCGCCCCAACAGTGGCTCTGCCCCTCCTCTCCCCCTCCCACGATCGTGGGCGGCAGAGGTCTGGTTCTGCTGCGGCTTGGCGCGCAAGGCCACACCAGGCCCCAGAACCTCAGTCAGCGCCGGCAGCGCACTGCAGTCCCAGCGGCACCCATGGCCGCTGTGGATTAACAGTTGGTGCCCCAGTGCCACGAGGTTTCGGGTTAGGGTCGGGTCGGCCAACCCTTAGCCTCCCAATTAGCCAAGCGATGGTCCTCCTCCTCCTTCTCCTCCTCCTCCTCCTCCTCTCGTTCGTGCTCCTCTTCTCGTTCGTGCTCTCGGCAGTGGCGGTCCCCGCCCCCTCCCGCCGTCTCGTCCACCAGCGCAACGGCCTGCCTGAGGTGTCGGGGCCGTCCACGCCGTGCAAGCACGCCTGCGTTGAGCAGGCGGCCCCTGTGAAAGGAGGAGCGGGGAGGAGCGAGAGGCAGGGCGGGGGCTGGATGTGGAGAGAGTGAGGGTGGGAGGTGGAAAGGAACATAATTAGGGGGAAGGGAGGGCGGAGAAGCGGGGGGACGCAAGCCAGGTGCGCTCGCGCCACATCTGACATCCTATCCCTCGCGCCCATCCCTTCCCATTGCGCTGCGTTTGTTCTCAATGCGCGGACGCGTGCCACAGCCGACCTGGAATTCCCAAAAAGATTCCATCATGTGATGCGAAGTCGGAGACGAGGATCTGCGTATGTAGGAGAAGGATAAGGTAGTGGTTGAACGGGAATACGAACTGGCGGCAAGGGAAAAATGAGGAAAGAGGAGGACGAGGACGAACAGCAGCAGCAGAAATTTGAGTGGAAAGATTGGGAGGAGCAGGCGGACCATGGGAACGCGGAGAAAAGGGAAATGAACAGGGCGACGACGATGAAGAATGAGCCAGATCCAGATAGGTGACCCGCGCTTTGGCGAGAGCGTTATTTTGAACGACGCGAGCAAAGCGCCGATCCGAAAATTGGGCGCTGCAACGGAAACAATCAGATTGGACACAACCATGAGAAAGCACAGTTGACCAATCCCTTGTGTAAAAAACATACGCGGAGAGCGCGGATCATGCTCCGGACAGAGTCAGGGAAGAAAGGACCCAGTAGCCCTCATATTGAGTATTGTGAAGGTGGAAGGGGGACAGCTGAGGTAGGGAAGGGTTGCGTGGAAGAGGGGGAAGAAGAAGTGGGACCGCGCTGCTGGTCTGCCCGCGTCGGTTGGACGAGGCGATTGCTGTACAGTGTTTTGTTTACGCGTGTGCGTATGTGTCCATTGTTTTCCTTTGATTATGTTGTGTCGGTGTTGGCACGTCGTTCCCCACGTGTTCAATGGTTTTCTAGTTGCCCTCGTCGCACCCGCGTTTTCCACCTCGCCTCTTCCCTCCTCCCCCTGCTCGTTCGCACACTTAAGAGATATCCACAGCATACAAATACACACACACACTTGCACAGACACACGCACACACACACACATACAACCGCAACACACACGCAAGACACACGCAAAACATACGGACGCGGACCGAGCCACTCGCACGACACATGATATGCATGTCCACATACAGCCGCACACACACACACACACGATCATACACACATCATACACATACACGACACACACACACCACGAGACTCTTCACACACACGCAGGACACACAAACGCGGACCTAGTCACTCGCATGACACATGATATACACGACCGCACACAGTCACACACACACATCATACACATGCACAAAACATACAGACGTAGAACCTTCACTCAAATGACGCTCGCATGAGGAGGAAGTAGTGGTGAGGGCAGGAGGTCTGCGGGTGAAGGTAAAGAGAGTGTGACAGAGGAAACGATCGCGAGGGCCAGATGCAAGTCTAGCCATTTATGACGTTGGAGGTCTCCACATCAGGTTCAGAAAGCCTTGTAGACGTTCGACGCTCGACGAGATGCAGACCATTGTTTCGGCGTGTGGAGGCTGACAGCCCGCGTCCGAAAAAGATTTCCACCGCAAGAACTGCCTCTCGGTCTGCCCTCTTCGGCCTCCCCTCCAGAAAATGTGCTTTGACCCCCTCCTTGACGTCCTCCCCCCGCCGCATCCGGGGGCGGCGGTGCCGGGTGCCAGGCCCCACGGCTCATCGGCGAGCCAGGGGCGCTGGCCTACCCTGTGGTGCGCGGCAAGACAGGCCAGAGGGCGGGGACCCAGAGACCCGACGCTGTGATTCTTCCAGGGCCTGGACCCCCAGCGGTGTGGATCTATTTCCCTGCACCGGTTTCTATCCCGAGCCGTTCCTGTTGGCGATCCCGAGGCCCGGGGAGGGCCCCGCTTGAGGCCGAAGTTGGCGAACAGCCTCCCGTCACCATTTGTCATCACTCGAGGGGGGCCTGGGGGACGAGGCTTCGGGCCCGCATCCCCTCGGACCCAGCCGGCTTCGGTCCCAGCCCATATCAGACCCAGGGCAGCGACGCCGACGCAAAATCGCTTTGGCGTCCGGAGTGGTTAATTGTTCATGACTGGTCTGCGACATGAGCGAAGACTCGCAAACGGCAGCGGTTTCGCAGTTCGCAGCCCCCTGGGATGGCGAGGTCAAGCCAGCCAGCCTCGGACCCAGCCTCCCCTCGGACCCAGCTAGCCTCGGACCCGACGCCCGCCGCTCGAGCGGGGCTCCGCGGAGCCGAAGGCGGTCGGGCCGGCAGCCAACGGGTCCGGAGCTGGACGGCCGGGCCCGAGGCTGGCCGGAGCTGGCGGGCCCGAATGCAGCGGGTCAGCTGCTGGCCCTGCGGCTGAGGCCAGAATGGACGGGTTTCCGAAGCCGGCTTGGCGGGCCCGGGCCTCCCATGGAGGGGCCCGAACAGAAGGGGTCGGAGTTGGCCGGCTTCCGAGGCCAGCTTGGCGGGCCCAGGCCTCCCAGGAGGGGCCCGAGCAGAAGAGGTCGGCGGTTGGCGCCGCATCGCCGTGGCGTCGGCGATGCGACCCGATGTGGAGCCCACTGTGCTCCACGCCGACGGTGCCGATGCATCGGCGACGCATCGCCGAGGAATCGGCGAGGCATCGGCGAGGCGGCGCGATGCTCCGGCCCTATCTGTGCTCGGACCCCATGTGGGAGGCCTCCTATGTGGGGAGGCGGGTCCCAGTCCTCGGCCCAGGGGTTGGGTCTCGTGGGTGGCTGGGAAGCACGAAGCAGGAGGAGGAGGAAGAGGTTCAGGAGGGGAAAAAACACACAGACACAATTAATCGTCGATTCCCAGGAAAATATAGAAAATATGGGAATTGGGCGGGAAGACAAAAGCCCAGAAAATATAGGAAAATATAGGGAATCTTTTTATTTGTGTGTATTTATTTGTGTGTCCCAGGGCCCCTTCAGAGGTGGCTTGGCTGGTAGGCTGGTTCATTGGTTGTTGGGATGGTCATGGGTTGATTGGCTGGAGGGTCGTCTGGTTGATTGGCTGGTCGGTCGATTGGCTGATTGGTTGGCGTGTTTGGCGGATGGTTGGCTGGGTGCTTGGTTGTTCAGCTGATCAGCTGCTCTGTTGGCCAATTGCTTGGACGAGGGGGAGGATATCGAAAGAGGAGGAGGAGGAGGCCGCTGAGTCTGACGCCAGCTGGGTCCAGAGCTGGTCTGGCGGGACGCGCTTAAGCTCGTTGTCGGGTTGGTATGGCTTGCTGGCTGGCTGGAAAGGTTGTTGTTGGCTGGGCGATCGGTTGGTTCGTGCGAGGGTGGTTGGTCGGTCGGTTGATTGGTGGGCAAGTTTGTGGTTGATTGATGAGTTTGCCACTTGGTCTGTGAGTTGGTTGGTCGGCTGGCCTGTTAGTCTGCTGGTCGGTTGGCGCGCTGCTCGAATGGTTGACCGATTGATTAATTGGTCAGCTGGTTGGCTGCTGATTCAATGGAAGGGGGGGAGGAAGGAGCAAGGATAAGGAGAGCCAAAAGGAACACGACGTTTACGGCAACCTTGCCGTAGTATCAGTTCCCTCGGCATCGTCCTCGCCCCCCCCCCCCTCCGCCTCGAGTGGCACTCACCTCAACCACATCGTGTCCGATGACCCCGTGATTGTGTCCGAGACCCGATTCGGCACACCCGCCATGTTTTTCGTGCCCTTTTCTTGCCCAGAGGCTTGGAACTGGCCTCGAAGATGACCGCCAATTCAGCACACCCCTCGCGCGCTCTGTGGCCCATGGCTTCCCAAAGGCTTTCAGCTCGCCTAGAAGGCGGCTCCACGATGGCTCAAATATAACCCAAGATCCTGCCAAGGCGACCCTAAGACTCCTCTGACGAGTGCCTGGACAATGCGGTCACCCCTCCCTAACTGACAGAAGAGCCACAACGCTCGGGGTCCATCATAACCATTGTTTCGAAACAGTGTGCAGCGGAAATTGCCCGCTTAAGCTGTTGGGTTGCGCGCAACGCAGCGTTGCTCACCCTCGCACAGACTCCATCGGTCGTATCCGGCGATGTCTCTTCCTGGTCGTCGCCCCGTGTCGGACTGGGAGCATTCGCGCCCTTCGGGCCGACCGCCCGTTCCCTGATTTCGACCTCAAGGCCTTCGACCACCAGGCCACCAGGTCGTCGTTCAGCGAGTCCCTTGCTGTCGCAGTTGCCGCAGTCCGTGGTGTCACCCTCGGCGTCCACTCCCAGCTCCTGGGCGGTAGATACTGAGCCACGCTCTGGCCAACAACCAGTCTCGCTTTCTTCTCGTCGACTTCCGCAGCAAGGTCTTGCCTGTTTCGGTCCCCCCGATCGTTGCCCCGCGCCTCTTCCTCTGCGCCCGTCATGGCCACAGCCTGGTCCGCAGCGGCGTCACGACGTCGTGTCCGGCGCCCCGCCTTCGAGCTTCGAGGCGCGTGAGGAGCACGGCCCCCCCGGGTCCACCAACTGCAGCCCCTTCGGCCGCTTCTCCGCCCATGGTTTCGGCCTCTCCTGGGTTGTGCACTGCTCATGCCGGCGGCGAGGGATGGGTCGGGGAGTGAGAGGGAGAAGGCCTTTTCAGAAGGTGGCCGGACTTCTGAGAAGCCCTTGTGCTTCCTCAGAAGTTTTCTGCATCCTCGGGGAAGGCTAAGAACATTTCCCAGAAGGCCGGGGGACTTCCGAGCCTTCTGGGAAGGCCCGCCCCTTCTCACATCCCCCCCTCGCTCGCCGCCGATCATGGTGTCTCGCCTACGAGCATCGTGCGATCGTCGCCCTCGGTCTCCGTCGTCTGCTTCGAGCCGCTCCTGAGCTCGCCCCGTAGGCCTCGGACGTCCAGGGCCCTTGCTTCCAGGCCGCTCTGAGCCACCAGAGCTGACCGAACGATCTGACGCGGCCGCGCCGTGGCAGCAGCGCTCACCGCGCCTCCAGGCGTGCTTCGCGCCAGAACGTCTGAAGCCCAGCTGGCCGTGGAGAAGCGGCTGCGCGTGTCCCGTCCGGGGGGCGTGGGCGCGAGGGTTGAGCGTCGCGTACTGGGGGGGCGGGTGGGCGACACATGGGGGGGGTAAAACGACGCGAAGGTCGGGACAAAATCGGATCGGGAGAACTCGAAATCTCTGAGAATCGGCGGGTTTGGAGGATGCATTGGGCGCCGCGGCCGCTCCAGAGCGTTTTCCGGAACGCTCCGAGAGCGCTCCGGAACGCTCTGGAGCGATTTATCCCGATACTGGCCCTGTTTTACAGGGGGCCTGCCGCTGGGCCGCAGGGGTTCCTTTTTTCTCCGCGCCGCAGTCTCAGTGGAGGCCCAGTCTTGAGTAGGGCGTGTCTCTCTACAGGAGGAATATCCCAACAGAGTCACACACAAAATAGTAGGGGGACGATTTGTTTTAGGGGGCCGCGAGGGATGCAGAAAAGGGGCCCCCCCTTAGGGCCCCAGGGGGAGCCCTACGGGGCCCCCTCCTCCCCCTCTGGTCGCCCTCCCCTGGAGCGGCGCCCGAGGGGGAGTGAGCGGGAGAGGCATACTGGAACGGGAGAGGGGGGGGGGGGGTCGGGGGCAGGGCAGGGGAGGGGGTATGGCGAGGAGGAGGAGGAGGAGGAGGAGGAGGAGGCGAGGAGGAGGAGGGGCGAGGAGGGGCGAGGAGGAGGAGGAGGGGAGGGAGGAGGAGGAGGAGGAGGAGGAGGAGGGGCGAGGAGGAGGAGGAGGGGCGAGGAGGAGGAGGGGCGAGGGGGCGAGGGGTGGGGCGGGGGCGGGGGCGCGAGAGAGCGGAGGGATGGCGAGGGGGAGGGGCGACGACGGAGGGAGCGGGAGGGGAACGGCAAAGTGGTGGGGGGTGCAGCTGCGGTCGGGCGGAGGCACAACGCACCCGCTGAAAGCGGGCC